TCTTGTGTTTGCATCCCTATAACCTAACATACAGTAGGAACTCAATAAATATTTCTTTTTAAAAAAGATTTACTTTTAGAGAGAGGGGAAGGGAGGGAGGAGAGGAGAGAAACATTAGTGTGTGGTTGCCTCTTGCATGCCTCCAAGGCCCACAACCCAGGCAGGTGCCCTGACTGGGAATTGAACCAGTGACCCTTTCACAGGCCAGCAGTCAATCCACTGAACAACACCAGCAAGAGCTCAATAAATATTTCTTAAATAAGTGAATGCTTACAGAGTGTTGTCATGCATCAAGCTCTGTCTTTATAGAATGGAATCTTGGAATATACTTCAAAGTGCCTTAAGCCATCCAAAAATTGTGAGTCTGGCTTTCAGGAGAGAAAAGCGTATGTAAAAGAGGGACTCACTACAGCAGACCCAGTTTATCAAGCATCCAGAGGAACCCATATGATAAGACTACACGACAGATATTTCTACACAAATTATAACATTATTTACAATTGCAATTTTTTAACTGGAAACAACAAATATGAAACTTAGAATAACTAAATGAGAGTTTGTTCAATGGATCTTTTTAAAATGATATTTTTGAAGAATATTTAATAACCAAGGAAAATGCTGATCATTCTAAACTAGAAAAAAGAGCTATTATCAGGATACCAATTTATAAAAGCCATTTTTAGAAACATATTGGTATAAAAACATTTAGGAAGAAAGCCTGAAACAAACTATATTAAATCATTAACAGTATTTATCTCTGGGTAATCTTCTACAATTAATCTCACCACAAATATCTACTGAGCATCCACCTGTCTGCTATTGTTCAGTAATAAGCAAGAGATATTTGTTTCTGTCCTCCTGGAGCCAAACTATTATACTTTTATAATCAATCAGAAAAAGCAAAACAGGTTAGGAAAAAAAAATAGAAGGGATTGCCCACTCTTTATTTGCATTCCATGTAAGATAAAAATGATTCCTAGAACAACTCTGGAATCTAGGGTAGGAACACTTTTGATACAAATACTTGGATAAAGACCACCCAAATATCATGTTCTGTGATTGTAAAGTGTATTATGATACAATAATTGTCTAGATCACTGGGGACAGAAGGTAATACAGACACTAAATCTCCAGACTTCCGGTTAGCAGATTTAAAAATTAACAATAATTATAAATAAAATTTACTCAGTTGATTCTTCATCTATCTTCAACCACATTTCTTTCCTCTTTTGTTTCTTCCCATCCACTATTTCTTATTCTTGCCCTCAGTGATTCACCCCATATGAAAAAAAAAGCTTTATATTCCTCTTCTTTCAACCAGGGCATAGCCTGTTTCAGACTGAGCTTTCCCGTCTTGGGGATTCTCAGGAAAGACGAGAGCCTCAGAGGGGATCTGTGGTCTTAAAGAACATAAAAGTAATTCACAAAGAATCTGAAGCTGTAGTCTTTTTAAAGCTCCTGCTTTATAAGGTATCTCAGGTGTAAAAAAAAAAAAAAAAGAAAGAGAGAAAAGTAGAGATAATACCTGATTAGAACAGTGACAAATTTACCTTCATGTGTTTTTCACTGTAATTATGTTACTAGTTTATGTCACTGATTGAAAATACTTCTAAAACTTCCTAAGGTTTTCAGCACATCAGAAACACAGTGATAAATAGCAAATTACTCTAACTGCTCTGAGCTTATTAAAAACTTCAACAGTGTAGCTCAATGGTACATGTTTTCAGGCATATTAAAAAATAAATATTAACTGACAAACTTCCGTAGGACTTAGAGTGCTGCAAATGGATATGCTATGAAAGAGTTTTCCAGAAATATTTTTTCTTAGTGGACTCAAATAACTGAAACGTGTAATAAAGTACATATGCAGGACATCACATTAGGCATTACAGGAACACAGAATATTAAATGCTAACCTAGTGTTTTTATGTTAAAAGCATATGCCCACAGAACTAGGTGATATAATTACTGATATTTACTTTTTCATTCATCAAATTTTAGGAAGAGCTCTGTTTCTAGTCATAATTCTAGGTGCTGTTAGACACTGAACAGTGAAAAAAACATAAAAACTCTTATCCTCATGGAGTATGTTAGTGGCTTGAGATGGATAATAAACAAGAAAAAGTAACTAAAACATTATTATAAATGGTGATAAAGAAAAACCAAAAAATAAAGTAGGAAAAAAAGATGTAGAACATGTAAAAGCAAGTGGGGAAGACAGTAAGTGTGGCTATCTGAGGAAAAACATTCTGAGGAAAAGGAATAGAGAGAACAAAAGGTCCAAAGGTGAGAATATGATTATCATGTTTAAGGAAGAGCAAGCAGGCCAGTGTGGCTGGAACAGAATCAAGGAATGGGGAGAATAGCAGATGAGGTTGGAGAGAAGGGATGCTGGAGCTTCCTGGAGAAGCATTTCAGCAAGGCTTTCATGGGCAGGAAGTAGAGCAACAGGTTTAAATGAGGATAGGAGGTGATTCCAGGTAATTAGAACACAGGAAAACAAAAGACAAGGAACCAGAGCTGAAGATGTTTAGGAATCAGAAGCTCATCTGGTGTATGAATACACATGTAGAGGTGAGGGAGCATGAATGTGAGGGAAGGGGATCATGGGAGAGAGGGTGGTGGTGAAGGTGGTATATAAATATTCAGTCTTTGATCCTCTGTTTAGAAACTGTGGAAGAGCATCATAGGGTACCAGGGTGAAAGGCAGGTATTAGCTGCCCCTTTAATATAACTCTTTTATTCCCTGGCAAGAATAAAATCCTGCTCCAGAGAGCTGCTTTAAGTTGTTATATTTTTAAAGAAAAAAGGGAGAGGTCTTGGGATTTTTGTAGGGAAAACACATATACATAGTGAATCATAAGACAAAGATGACTAAAAAGTCAGACTGAGAAGGCAAATAGGAATTTCAATTTTTTAAAGAGCATTCCAAAAAATAACTAATTCGTGGATAAACAGCTGAGATAATTATCTCTAATTCTATGTAAAGAAAAAGAGGATTCTGTTATAATTATCCACTTTGAATTCAAAGGTATACAAGGCAAAATCTGGGACCTATCTCACAATTCAACACCCTGTATCTAGAATAGTACCTAGTACAGAAGATTCAAATGCCTATTTAAAGAATTGAAAGCCTTACTGTCCACCCCAGTAGGATCAAACAGTGCTAAAGCTGTCATAACACCAACTTAAATTGTTAGTACATATTAACAGCATACTGAACAAAAGTAGAAACGTAGGAAGAGTGTTTTCCTTCCATGTTACCCCTTGTGCAAAACAACATACCCCAGAGGAGTCTACTGGTTAATTACCCATATGACATACAAGGCCCTTTGAGCTATATGCAGTAGTGTTGCGTGGAATAATGGGACATATATCATGACTAAATCTAATAAACAATGCTGTTGCAAAATTAAATGAAGTTTCCCTAAATATAGCCATATGAGTTGAATTAATGCTCCCTTTTTGAACACAGAACCAAAAGCATGAGGCGATCTGAAACAATCTCCTTCCTCTTGATCTTTACAAACTTAGTGGATTTAGGGAATTGGGTTTTCATCTCTATGTTTTTTTAAATCCCAAATTAAGAGTAACTCACCCTCATCAATTTGTCTCAAATAATGCAAAAAGCACAATTAAAAATAGAGCAACTCTTATGTACGTTTGGTCATGAGATGTTATAAATCCCAGAGAGAGAACATTATAAATTCCAGAAAGCAGGGGGGAAAAAATCATCAACCAGATACAAATGATGAAACTTCTACCAGGAAAAGCATCTTTCTGTATAGGATAACATTTGCGCTCACGTTGTTTTGACCCAATACTAGACTGTGTAGTTAAAACTGACAGGCAGGGTTTTATACTTTAAAAATTAAGCTTCTTTGTTTTAAAGTGTTTTTCTAAATGCCAACACCGGAATATTGATATTTTCTCCCGTCTTCCATGAAAACATTTTTCCATGCCACTACTAGAATATCCTCAAGTGCAACTCCGTAAGTAGATTCAACTCCCTTTAATACCATAAGCAAGCATAGAAACGCCTTTATACCACAAAAAAGCACAACAGTGGTTTGCAAAGTGAAATTATTTCTGCTTCTTGGTAGCGATTTGAGCAAGCAATGCACATTGGGTGTTTTGAACCGAGTAAACGGCACCCCGGCCGCTTCATCTCCAAGATGCAACAATAAAAGCATGCTCCCCCTTACACTTCGCCAAAAAGTGGCCCTCTTCCCAGGAGCCCTTGACCACAGGAAAAGAGCCGGGTTCGGGGCCGGCCTGCCTCACCTTATAGACGTCCCCATAGGTGCCACTGCCGACCCTCTGGACGAGCTCGTAGTCGTGCTGCGGGTTCCGCCTTAGGATGTCCGCGGCAGGCCGCAGCGGGGCCTCCATCTTCGCCCAGCGCCCGGCCCCTGCAGGCTCAGCCTGCGGCGCCCCGGTTCCCGCTAACGAGGACAAACTGCGCCGCTTCCCAACATGGAGCCTCAGCCTTCAGCTCAGCCTGCAGCTCCGCCTGCACGAGGGACAAGTAAAGGCGAGTTGGCGCCGCTGTCTACGACCCCGAGCGGCCCAGCCCCCTTCCCTTCCGCCCCGCCGGGAGCCGCTGACAAGCGGCTCAGGGAGGGTCCCCGGCGCCCCGCATCCTCTCCCGGCCGCAGCCCTTCCTCTACTCCGCTGCTGGCGAACTGTCCGGCCCAACCTCGCCGCCCTCCGGGGCCTGGGGACGCCTCGGTACCTGAGTGGGACGGGCCCCGCTTTGTTGAGCACCGCGCCCGAGACCTACTTCCTCGCCGGCGCCTGCGTCCTACGTCCCGGCGCCTGCGTCCTGCTTCCCAACGCCCGCCGGCCAGCCAGCCGCTCCAAGTCCTACGCCGCCGTCTCCTGTTGCACCGCTGGTCCTCTCGCAGGCGGCGGCGGAGGAGTGTACGGTCGCCGCTGCCGTCGCAGCACGTTCCCACCAGGGGCTGCGTCACCAAGAGACACGTTCCCGGTCAGCGTGGGTCGGCGCCCGTCGGCCTGCCCGAGTACGCTGGCCGTGGGACCAGAGTGCCTCCCTGAGGCCTGGTCGGGGCACGACAGCCTCCCGGGCGCGCCCCTGGCCCGGCACGTCTTTTAAGCGCCCAGGCTCTGCTTCCCTCTCGCATAAATAGGGACCCCCTGGGCATTCGTTGGCCGACGGGCCTCTGCTAAACAGCCCCCAGATTCACCAGGTAAACTTAGTGACGGGTAGAGGGAGATGGGTGGGCACGAGAGCGATGGGAACACAGCCCTCCCATTTCACGGAAAAGGTATGTACAGGGCACTGGGCCAGGAGTAACCTGGCATTGGGGCGCTGGGAAGGAGGTGGGGGAGTGCCAGGTTAACTTAAGTTGCGGCACACCCTACTGCACCTTCCTGTTTTGCAAACTCTTCCCAGCGGTACCAGTTTAAGGCTGGACTGCACACCTGAACAACCTGTCTTCTACGGAGTTTTCCCGAGACATTTCTGAAAGCTTGAATTCCTAGGAAGTCTCAATGGCCCTTATTCCTGTTGGATACGTGCGCTCTCACCGCAGCTATTGCCCTTTGGTTAAATCAGAAGTTCAGAAGCTAAAATGAAGGACCACCGCAGCCTGGTTCTGGCTCCACCACTTCTTCAGTATACAATCTGGGGGAAATGGTCGGATTTGGCAATATCTCACTATCCTTATCTGCTGCTTGAAAGGGATTATTAGTTTTGCACCTGACATCCGAGAAAGTGTTGCAGGAGTGTCCAACCTTCTGGCATCTCTGGGCCACACTGGAAGAAGAGGAGTTCTCTTGGGCCACACATTAAATACACAAACACTAATGAAAACAAACAAAAAATATTTTAAGTAAATTTACAACTTTGTGTTAGGCCACATGCATAGCCATCCTGGGCTGCATGAGACCCCTAGGCCTCAGGTTGGACACCCTTGCTTTTTACAGGATTATAAAGAAGGGTAATCAAATATAAGAGGTTTTAAAATACTTCACAATGCACAGAATATCAAAGATATTTCTATTAAAGATAGAAAGGAGTTCAGGGAATAATTTGGCTGGTATCCCACAAACTGTTTTGCGTTTTTAGTTCCAGTCTTGTTATGAAGGTAGAAACAAATTTGCTGGATTTATGTATACTGGCAAAGTTATTTCTAGAGCCCAGTAGAAGTTTTGAAGAGAAAAGCCAGACAACACTCAGCCAACACATTTAGTGACTAAGTTCCAGACATTGGCTTGTGGCTTCAAACATCCAATTCAAATTGTGTAATGTAGAAATTAAATTCGCACCTTAACAGGACAGGGTATATGTATTTTCTTGTGCTCCATACACAAAGGGCACTTATTTATGGAATATAACTAAGCTCAGACTTACATGTTCTATGGACAAAGCCTATGTGTTTGCTGTATTGAAAAAATTGTCGAAGAACAGTTCCTTCTTTCAGAGCTTCTTGGCACTTGTTTTGGTGGGCACATACTTTTGGCTTCCATGACTCAAAATCTTTTCAAATGTTCTGTTAGTATCCTAGTACTTGTTAACTGTCATAGATTCTTTTTTTCTCCTGTGATCCTATAAGCATTGATCCTTTCTCTAGTCTGAAATTTATTTCTTCTTGATTATTCATACCTGCCTTATTCCACAGAGAATTTGAGGCCTTATACAGAAAATATGTACAATAACACAACATAAAAATAAGTAAATGAGCATAAGGGTATGATGTTAAAGGGAGGGGAAAGTAAAATAGTGGAACAGTGTAACAAATTAGCCAAAGAAGAAGATTTTATAGTGTTTTTGAGACCACAATCAAGAGAGAGGTATATTTTTCCCCAATACTAAGACTTGAAAAACTTTACCTCATAAGTCTTCATAAAGTAGAAACTTTGAATTCAGCTTGAAATAAGGATAGTATCCTTCTAATCCTTCAAGCATGTCATTCTTGAAACACAATGTTTGATATGAATTAAGCAAAAGAAAATTTGAGATCATAGATTTCAACAAGACCCTGGAAAGAGGATACTTTACGTTGCCAGTAATGGCAGGTCCATATGCTTTAACCATTCACTCAGAGGTGGATAGCATGAAAAGAGTTGAGATTCTACATAGTAGTTAAAAAATGTGTCTGCTGTAATCATTATTTTACTTGTATCACAATTGATGCAAAGAGGATAGCATTTGCTTTATACTAACTCCAAAAGAATCTTAAGGATTTTTAAATACTTACTGGTTCCGTTTGTTTATTTTAATAAGATCAGTGAAGTCATACTTTTGGCTTCCATGTTACATGGTTGTAAAGAAATTCAAATTCAATTTCCATAAAATAAACTACAGTGTGTAAATTTAATTTTATATCCTAAATTAGGTACCTACTTTCAAGGTTGACAGGTATAATTATAATATTATATTATGTAACATAATAATATAATAACAATTATAATAAAAATTGTAGCTAACAGGTATTTTTAAAAACTACCGAGTTTTATAATGACAGGGTATAGAATAAAAATAAATGTGGCTTGATAGTCCCTTTATCCCAACCAAATTATCTTATTTTCTTAGTGTCTTCATAACATCTGATATATAAATATATTCCAGCTTTTACTCTAATCTATATAACAATCCATAATGGTTTGTTTTGTGCTTTACAGTGTTTTTCCCTTCTTTCAAAGTTTTTTAGTAAAATGCATATTGTAATCTGTGGCCTATGGTTTCAACTTCAGCCAAATCTGAATTTTCAAAAAATTGGAGACATAAGCATTTTCCAACTTCTATGTAGGTAAGGTTTACAATTTACTATGCAACACACAATAGCTAATTAAAACCCTCAAGTGTGGCAGAACAGAGCATGAGGACAATATTTTAGTCTATGGAACATTTAAACAATATAATCTCCTGATGAGTCTTCCAACATAAACTACTTGCAAAGTGTAACTCAGTGTGGTTGAATTTGTTGTTCTATATGTTTGTTAAATATAAATCAGTTAAATGTTGGAAGACATCTGCCATAATTATGATTTGGATTTTCAAATAGCCACGATTTCTCTTACTAATTGGAGCCAGTTTTCTGTGTGACAAAACCCATGTTCTCAAAGTACATATAGGAGAATTCTATTTTGTTCTGGATAGCAGTAGAATGTACTGTATCTCATTCAGAATCAGTATCAGATCACTAGGATGGGAATATTAAAAAAAAAGAATTGAGAAAACAGTGCACATCCTTTTATCCAGCTTGAATTGCTCATCTCATGTGTTAAAATGCTGTTTCTCTCACTCTGATCCCAACATGATGGTTTTAAGGTTTATAAGAATTGATAGCAGTGCTCCTGTGTTTCACTCAGAAATTGGTTCTGTCCACAAATACAATAACTAAGATACATATTACAAATAACCTTATGTTGTTCCTTATCAGTTTCCTCACATCATGAGTATAATGTTCAGAAATGGTGCCTGAAGTTTGCTTACATCTCACATAGACTAGTATTCTGAGAAACTAATGTAGAAGATGCCACAGTACCTGGCTGTGGCCCTATCCTACAGCTATACAACTCTTCCAGGATTCTAATAAGGTCTCTTTTTTCCTTGCTCTTTTAGGGCAAGGATAATAATGTCTCCCCACTGTTGCTAGTAGTTTCAGGGTGCCTCCCTAGCCCTTGTTGGTCCCTTTAACCCTGTTCTCATTTTTATAAATAGCTCTTTCATTAGCTTCTCGTTCTGTGCTGCCTCTTTCTTGCCAGAATCCTGATTGCTGGAGGAGCTGGAAGTAACCTTAGGAAAGAAACCCTTGCTTTCTGGGATGGTATTACTCACATATCTGATGATTACCTGTATAAAGTATTTGTCATGGAAAATGGAACAATAGTATTTCAGAGCATGGAGTCGCATCATAATTACTCAAATAATTATCACTAGTGGCATGTGATGTAATGCTGCATCATGTAGAGCATAGCATTGGAAGATCAACCTCTAGCACTTGGCCGCTTTGACAGTGATGATTGCTAAAACTGGTATCATTTGCTCTGACTGCTTCTTTGAGAATACTTGTGAAAAAAGACAGAAAGCCTTGAATTCCAAACTGAACGCAGGAGTAGAAAATCAGAATTTTTTTGACAGCTTAGAAGAAATCTATATCTCTTACTGCTGCAGGCAGATATGGCTGAGGATCAAGCCCAGGGCCTTATTGTAAAGGCTACACACAGAGTTGCAATGTCAGTTGAATGTGAGACCTAGATCTGTTACGTGAAGGTAAGCACACTAGTAGAGTAGAACTGGGACCCTGCTACATGAAATGGGGGCATTTGGGCCAATATGAATGAGGATGGGAACTCCGAATAAGAGTTAGACTTCAGCATAGCCCTGATGGAGAAGGACAGGACCTGTTCTTGAAACAGAGAGCTTATGCACTGAAAGAATTATGAGATTTTCCAAATACTTACCTAAAGTTCAGATTTAATTTGTTGATTTGAGCAACTGGCAATTCTGAGGTGGTTACTTGAAGCTAGTAAGTAGTCTTTATGCTGAGATGCCAGAACTTTCCTGTCATGGTATAGAGGAAAAAAATCTTAGATTCAAGGAGATGGAAATGTTGGACTTCCTCTAGTATGTGTATCCTATTCAGTTATGCTCTATCCATTCCATCCCTAGGAGGACCCATAAAATCTACTTTTATCAATGCATTGGGTAAAGAGCCACAGATATTGAAAATTTATCTCATGGCTGTTCTTAGTTGGCTGGAGATGATGATGGAGATGGCATAATGAAATTGGGATCCATGATTCAGTCAGAATATTGAGATCCCAGTGAAGGCCAAGTCAAGGATTCTTAACTGTCAAAGACATGTTCAACACAATTACCATGATAACCCTCAGGAAGAAGGAATGAAATCAGGGTGTTTGACTACAAGGATTTTTGGTGGTGGTCTGTGGTCACCAAGTCTCTAGGAATGAATAAAACTAGCAGCCTACTTTACTGCTGCTTGACATACTAAGCAGAAAAATTCTAGGTCCTATGAGCATAAATGTAACTGAAATCACTGTAATAAAGATTCAAGACTTAAATTCTTAACACGTATTTCCTAGACTAAAGCCAGTTTACAAACTGGAGTCCCTTATTTGAGAAAGAGAGGCCAGGTTCCACTGAAGACGGATTCCACAGTATAGCCAGGTATAAACAGTGAATCTCTTCTGAGACAATGCCAAAGTTACTTGTGACCTTTTACTGGGTGATTGTGAACTGAGGGATGAGGAATTCTCACATCTTCTAGAGAATAATAAATACTGGCCCTGAGTATTAATTCCTGCAACTCAAAATACCAGCAAAATTCCAGTGATCAGAGTTGAGACTTAAGATAATTCAAGTGTAGTCTTGGTTCAGGTCTGTTTCATAGTGGATACAGTGGGTCTGAAGAACTATGTGGGGTTATCTTTCCAGTCCCAAAATGTAAGTGAGAATAGCTAAATTGAGTAGCTGAATTCCTGCTTTAAGTTTACATAGAGGAAGGGCTATTATGATTGGAAGGACCATGTGACACAACCCCAGCTAATTTATGCTCCCCTGTACCAAAGCAGAAATTAAAATTAAACTTTACCAGTGGGGGAATTTCAGAAATGTGCCCATGGAATTAACTAATCTTGCTTCAAATCCATCACTTAGCAGCAGCTAATTTGAGCCCTGACCGGGTAGCTCAGCTGGTTAGAGCATTATCCTGATAAACCAAGATTGTGGGTTTGATGACCAGTCAAGGCACATATAAGAATCAACCAATGAATACATAAGTGAGTGGAACAATGAGTCCATGTGTCTGCTTCTCTTGTTTTAGAATGGATATGAGGGGGGGACCCCCTCTAAAAAATGGAATTTATTTATAAAAAATTGTGTATTTATTCTTACATGTTTAAACTTCAGCCACCTTCAAAACACTCTGCATTTGATGCGATACACCTATTGAGACTTTTTTCCAGTGCTCAAAATAGTTTTGAACTCATTGATTTTGATGCCTTTTAGTGCTTCTGCCTTTTTTTGTTTCACCTCTTCTACATTGGCAAAAGATTTCCCTTTTTTCATCCTGGGAAACAGCAAAAAAAAAAAGTTGCTCTGGTCAAAATCAGGTGAATAGGGAGGGTGAGGCACAGAGGTCATGCTGTTTTTGATTAAAAAATGCTGAACACTCAGCTCATTATGGGCAGGTGCACTGAGTGCACTCATAAACCACCCATCATGAATGGACAAACACATTTAAAGAGTCTTCAAAAAAAATTCACTGAAGCCAAACACAGCCTCTTACAACAACACCAGCTAGTGCAGACAGGTTCCTAGAACACTCACCTAGCAGAGGAAGCCTGCACCACAAGGGGACAAGCCTCCAGAAGATAATTCTGGGACAAATATATATATATTTTTAAAAAATAAATATACAGATTATATATATATATAAAAGAGTAAATTCTGTATTCTTTTTTACAGATGTTTAGTATTCCATTGTGGAGAAGTATTATAATGTACCACTTTCCTATAAATGGACATACAGGTTGTTGCCAGTATTTTGCAATTACAAAAAAATGTTGCAGTTAATAACCCTTATAGAGCAGTTGTTTTGGGGAATCTACTATACTCTTTAACTCATATGTATATGTAATATATAATATGTAATGTATAATATATAATATGCAGTGTGTAGTATGTAATATGTAATAATTCTTCCTTTCTATATAACTGAATGAGGATGTGAATGCCCAAGCAGCCATCTTAGATTACGCAACAGAAGTTCCAAGTTAAGGTTGAGAGAAAGTATAAACAGCTTGGGTTCCTTAGGGTTTTGAAGCCACCATATTAGCCCTGGACGGCTTATGCTCAAGTTATTTCATGAGAGAGAATTATCTGTTTTAAGCCACTAATTCTTTTTTATAGCAGCCAAATCTAAATCCTAAATAATTTAGCTCATGATGATGTCAAGCTAATGAATTAGCTACCACAGAACCAACCTACCCTCAAAAACAAATATATACCAGTAAATGTCCTTTTTGTCTAAACCATTTAGGGTTATAGCCAAAAGCATTCTGATAGAAATATTTTTTTCAAGATTGCTAGCTGTAGAGGAAAGAAGCATATGGACGCATCACTTATGAGAAACTCTTGATTGAGAGAGCCCTTTTCTTATGATGTGGGGAACTGAGCATGGTGAATAAACCAATGGAAGAAACATAATTGAGGATACAGGAAGGGGAGGGAATAATTTATAAGGTAACATTCCAAAGGAGCCAGGAAGAGAGAGGACATAGAGTACTAAAGTGCAAATGGAAGAATAGCTCTTATTTTTCCTTTTTAAAATTTAAAGTAAACCTGACCTTGACTTTTTAAAAACAGCCTTATTGAGAGATAATTCACTCACCATATAATTCATCAAATTAAATAGTATAATTTAGTCCTTTTAGTATAGTCACAGAGTTGTGCAGAATTGATTTCACAATTTTAAAACATCTTTTTCTACTTTCTGACTTAGCAATTTTCTGTGTTTCTTTTGTACAGAGGAACAGATACACTTATTTTTCATATCCTTTCTTATAGAAAGGAAAAGTATTTGCCCTTGGGTTTTTTCCCACTTAGCATTGTATTCTATATCAATCCATAAAGTTCTGTATTCTTTTATACAGATGTTTAGTATTCCATCATAGAGATGTATTTTAGTGTAGCACTTTCCTATACAGGGACATGTAGGTTGTTGCCAGTATTTTGCAATTACAAAAAAAAATGCTACAGTTGATAACCCTTATAGAACAATTGTTTGGGGGAATCTACTGTACCCTTTTACTGGTTTTTACCTGAAAGAGATTATCAGTCTGGAATCTGAGCTGGAAATTTTAGCCAAGAAACACAGGAACAGAACCCACTTCTTTTTGTACTATGAGTTTGGTTTGTAGGTTCAGTGTTGAGATCGTTTCTGTCTTTCTGTGTTGTTTCATTAGTTGGTAATGCAATTCTAATGAGCACACTTTGCTTTAAAACTATAATGTAAACTTAGTTTAAGGAGTTCACAGTTCTGAGGTCACTAGAACCATTAGCTGAAATATGGAATACATAAAATTTGGCAGTAATAGGTAAGACTTGTTGATTTTGCTGTGTTGGTAGCAAAACCAAGTGACGATGACTGCAGGCAGCTATAAATTCAGCTGTTATGATCATTCTCTCTCAAGAGAGTTTAACACTAGAAGTATAGGTTTGGGGATCATCAGGTCCTGTATGAAGACACCACAGTAAATTATACTGAGAGAACATAGAGGGAGGAGTTGCTGATGACTAGGAATAAGCAGAAAGCAAGGACCTGGTGGTTAAGAGGCTAGCAGCGGTCAGCCTCCCAGGCAGAACTGATCTGTGGAATGTGGGAAACAACCAAATGCAGGAGAAAACTGTGTAACAAGGAGAGGAACGGGATGTTGGTATCTTTGAGGGTCAAGTAGCACAAAGGGGCAGTGTTTCTAGGATACTAAAAACTAAATTTGTAGGCAGAGAGGAAAGAAATCAGTGAAAAGGGAGAGATTGAAAATACTTTTTAAGAGTATTTATTACCTTTTGCTTTCCCTTTAAAATTGTCTGCAACCTTTTGTGCCTGCCAAGGCTTACCTAGACTATGTAGTATGAATTTACTTCAAATATTTGCCTATATAAATCCGGATTTTATCTCTACAAATGTAGTGGGGAATTTCACCAACTAGACATTTAGTTACAGATTATGATGAATCTTCGGTTTTCATTTATCTTGATCTTCTTGTTGTAATTTTGCTAGCCCAATTTTAAAAGACAGGCCTGTTTGGTAGACAGATGCAAAATGCACAATACTTATACTCTGGTTTCTCTTCAGATAGTATAAATCTTTCACCTTTTATAAAATGCGCAATACTCTCCTGACTACATGATGTTGCTTTTAAAATGGGGGGGGGGGGATGGTGCCCAGTAAACAAATGCAGATCAATTTAACTTCTTTAGCTGTATAAATATTGCCAGCATGTTTGTACTAATATGTAACTGTTGTAGGAAAACAAGTATTTGAACAACTGGTATAATGCAGTATATGGTTTGTGTATTTCTGTGACTAGATAATGCTGTTAAATTCTTTGAGCGTGTGCGAGAGAGGGTGTTGTTTATTTGTGTGTGTGTTTCTCGTTCAAAATATTGCAGTGCATGTCTGTCACTGTCTTCACGCTCTGGGGGTGGGCTGAAGTAGGGAGGGTGTGACGCTGGTATTTGTGTGAACTCCAGCTTTTGATGCTGAGCTTGGTTCATCCGTTCTCTCCTCCCTTCTCCTCCCCACTCCTTCCCTCCAGCGCCACAGCAACATCCTCTGAGTCTGAGCGAACTGCGCCCAGCTCGGGCACACAGTCTCCCACTGCCAGCAACCTGCGGCCCAGGAGAAGAGCGAGCGTGGTGACAGTGCCTCACTGCCACGAGTCCCTGGACCATCATGGCTAAGAACCGCAGGGACAGAAACAGCTGGGGTGAGTAATATATGGTGACTTCTGCAGCCTGAATGGTACTAGCCTTCTACTTTCTACTTCTGAAGAAGAGGAGGGCCAAGGACTGGCATCCAAGGCTGGGAGACGGCCAGGGCCGAGCTGCTCCCTGTTGGGCCGGAGGAACCGTGGCAGAGCGGTACCCACGTAAACCGAATGGTGCTGTGGGCGAGCGCTGCAGCTTCACGCAGGCTTCTCCCCGACTCCCCTAGTGCACCTCTTCCTAGCATTTGGACAGCACCCACCGCGAACCTCTGGGGACTGGCTGGTTCCGCTTTAGCTCTAGGTTGGCAGGAAGGCGATGAGAGCGGGCAGGGGTCTGTTGTTACTTGGTAGGGAGGGGCAGGGCATTGGGGATCCTCGATCCCCCACTTCATGGGGAGCTGCGAGCTCTTGTGCCCTGCCGGGCGCGCTCCAGTGGTGGGTGGTGCTGGAACAATGAAGGAGAGTGAGCCAGGCCCAGTGAGAGCGTTGCAGACCAGAGCAACCCAGGAGAAGGGACGCCTGCTTGGGGGTGCCCCAGTGCTGCAGTGCTCGTTTTAATTTAGGGATTGCTTGGAGAATTGGGGGTGCAGGGAAGAAAAGTTGTGATTTACAGCCTTCTGCCCCACCCCAACCTGGTACCCCATTCAGGGTGGCATTGTTCTTTGATTTTACCTTTTGGAGATATTGGGCTCATGATTCAGCACCAGGCCGAGGGGAGGGGGAAGGAGTGGCTAGGCCCAGTGGGTTCACGCTGTGAGTGGGTGGGCGGTGCTCACGCAGGCGGAGAAGCGAGAGCGCAATGATGCAGGAGAAATCGGGGCCCCGCCCACTCGGCTGCTCCGGACTTGGTTTAGGATGCTTAGTGTGGGCCGGTTAGGTGTCTTTTTCTGCCTTGGACTCCCGATTTTTTAGTCCCAGTACTAAACTCGTCACTGTATGAGAAGCTAAAGTCCTTTAGGGCATTTTATTATCTGAACCAGAGATCTCCAGTCACTGTGGGTTGGTGGGTATAGAAATATGTTGTTCATTAGCTTTGAATTATTATTTTTTGGAAAGTTTATGCCCACTCAGTGTTTGGAGCTCCTGATTCTCTTCATGTTTCATTGAGATCTATAACTGTCCATAAGACTAAGACATATAAATTTTAATTTTAATTCATTATTTTGGTGTACTTTTATCAAAAGTCCTTGCTCATATTGGTCACAGGACCAACTTAACTCCCAGGAGAAAAGGTTTACATGTAAGAGATTATCCCAGGTTTGTGGTAGATATGGGATGTAGTAAGGGAAGTCTATCTTTAGTTATCTGAATTTATTTTTTTTAATTTTTAAAAAAATTTTATTCATTTATTTTTAGAGGGGAAGGGAAGGAGAGAAGGAGAGAAACATCAACGTATGGTTGCTTCTGGTGCATTCCCTGCTGGGAACTGGCCCTTGCTGGGAACTGGCCTGCAACCCAGGCATGTGCCCTGACTGGGAATTGAACTATGGTTGCTTCTGGTGCATCCCCTGCTGGGAACTGGCCCTTGCTGGGAACTGGTCTGCAACCCAGGCATGTGCCCTGACTGGGAATTGAACTGTGATTGCCTGCTTTGCAGGCCCGCGCTAAATCCACTGAGCTACACCAGCCAGGGCTAGTTATCTGAATTTAGAAGAAAGTGGTTCCATTTTACTGAAATCACCAAACCCCCATTTTAGTAGGTGTGACTATTGCAGTAACTCTTGTTTTCTTTGCTTCTTCTGAAATATGGGTGAGCATTTTCAGGGTAACCCCTTTCTATGCCTCCTCTTGGCTTCTAGAAGAAGAATTTCTTGAACACTCAGTTAAGGTGTGTATATTCAAGTTAGTTTTGGTCTTGAACTTCGCTCACCATTGACTCCACTCTGTTTGGAGACAGGCATGTGAAAATTTATGCTGAGGGTTAAATTTTTTCTCCTTGATGAAGCTTTGGAACATTATTCTTCAGTATTTCCTTTGGTCACAGATCTTTGTTTAGTGGAGGGTGAGTCAGTCTCTCTCTCTCTCTCTCTCTCTCTCTCTCTCTCTCTCTCTCTCTCTCTCTCTCTCGGTTCTCCAAAGGGATTTGCATAAAAATCACATTGGGAACTTATTAGAAATGCAGATTCCCATGTCTTCCAGCCAAAACTTTTGAATCGATATGTCTGAAATGGGGTATAGGACTTTTAATTAGCATCTTAGGTATTTGAGAAGCAGGTGGTCTTTGGATGTTACTTTCAGAAACACTATCATTATTTATATTTGATAGAAACATAATTCAGACAGTTTACCCAGAAGACACCAAGAGTTTTAGCTCAAGTGATGAATTAAGAAAAGAAATAACAGAGTCACTATATGTTCACTGGAAATGTTCACAGAAAGTAAACAGTAAAATTGTGGAGTCTTACCTTGATGCTCCGTGAAAATGGTTTACTATGTTTCTTTGGTGTAAAGTACATACAACATAAATGACTTAGAAAATGTAACATATAGATTAGGAAACAGGGGGTTTTGCCAAAGTGTTAGCAATATCTATCTTGATTCCATTTTATTACTGGTACCTAGTAGAATCCCTAATAAATAGTAGGCATTTAATAATACCGATAATAGCTAATACCATTGAGGTAGGTACTGTAACCCTTATTTTACATATTAAAAGTTAAATAATAGAGCCAAGATTCCAATTCTGGCAATTAGATTTCAGATTCTCTCATCTTTACCACTATGCTACACTGCCTCTTGATTGAGTGGATAATATCTTCCCCATTAGATAGAACTACAGTTTTCAAGGCACATTCACATGCATTACTATATTTGATCTGTAGCCTCTTAAGTTGGCAGGACACGTTTCCTGTTGTACAAATGAAAAAACTGAGTCTCCTATCTGTTAAATAACTTGGCAAAAGTAACATATTTAGCAAATTGGAGAACTAAGATTAGAACCTAGGAATGTCTTCTAATTTATTTTCTATAACATGATGCTGTGGAATGTTTTATAAGATAATGGGGAATAGTATGAGGGGAATAGATAGAACAGGCCTTTGTAGAAGCCAGAGGTCTCTGATGAGAAAAAAACTTCAGGTGATAGCTACAAAAGGCTGACCTTATCATCTACCTAGATGAATATTTCCTAGACAAGTTAGAAAGGCAACTGCCAATAACAAAGGTAGACTATCCAGAATTGTAATATATAGTAATTTCCAAGAAATGGTGAGAAAGATATTTGTAAAATCTATACAGGAAACCTAAGATTTAGATAAAGGCTCCCTATAGGACCATATGACAAGTATTACTATTATTTGAGTGGCCAGAGACCTGGTAGGTTCTACAAGGACCATGGAAGCTAGAAAGCAGTAAAGCATCTCTGCTCACCCCCAGAACTAGGGGTGATATTTGAGGACCATACCCAAAGGTACAATTGGGAAGCAGGTTTATGAGTAGGACTGAGAATCTCATCACCTGTACTTAAATCTACACTGAACTAGAAGTTGGGATAAATTTAAGCTTTTAAAAATTAATTCCTTGCCCTGGCTATTGTAGCTCAGTGGATTGAGCACGGGCCTGCAAACCAGAATATCACAGTTTGATTTCCAGTCAGGGCACATGCCTGGGTTGCAGGCCAGTTCCCAGTAGGGAATGCATGAGAGGCAACCATACATTGATATTTCTCTCCCTATCTCCTTCCCTTCCCCTTTAAAGATAAATACATAAAATCTTTAAAAAAATTAATTCCTCAAAGATAGGCATTATCCTTATTTTAATATATAGGGAATATGAGCTCAGAGAGCATGAATACTTTGCCATAGGTTCCATAATTTTTATGTTATAGATCTAAGATAGAAATTTTAAGTCGTTTGCTTCCCCAGTTCATGTGATGAGGACAAGGAACTACAACAGTATGCCGAAAGGTACCACAGTAAGCCTATCTAGGCTTGAGCTGGTGTAAGAAATCAAGGCTCTATAAATTTGATCACCTTGGACTAGAAAAGAAGGCAAAAAGTGTGCTAGTGTGAAAAGTAAATGGAACAGATGACTATCAGGAGGCAGTAAGTAGCCCAGTAGGCAGTATTTTAATGTTGGGCTTAGAGCTCAAGTAGTACTGGAAACAAAACAGAAAATTCATCCTTTTTTTTGTTTATTTGTTCTAGTTAATTATAGTTGCTGAAAAATTTGGGATACCACATAGGAATTTGAGTTTTCCACAACATAACAAACTGTCAGTGCAATATTGCTTTATTGCACTAAAATGTCAGCTTCTTCTGCCCTTAAAGAAAAACTATCTTAGCTTTACAGTATGTATAGTAAATATTTATTTGTTGAAAATCAATTTTTAGATTTGTTTTTTAAGGAAACATTAAGAACAAATTTTCTAGTTTTACTGAGAAATAATTAACACCTTAAATCTATTAGAACAGTCATTATCTGTATATGTTTAAGTTGTATAATATGACGGCTTAACTTACATATATTGTGAAATGATTACCACATCCATCATCTTATATAGATACAGTAACAAGAAAAGAAAAATACTTCTCCTTGTGCTTAGAACCCTTAGGATCTACTCTCTTAACTTTGTTGTACATACTTGTATATCATACAACCGTGTTAAATACAGTCACCACGTTGTACATTACATCCCTAGTGCTTTTTTACCTTATAAATAGAAGTTTATACCTTTTGACTACCTTCCTCCAACACCCCCTTCCTCCAACCTCTCGCCTCTGGTTATGACCAATCTGATCTCTCTCTCTACAAATTCAGTGGTTTTGTTGGTTAGTTGGTTGGTTGGTTGGTTGGTTGGTGAGATTCTGTGCATAAGATCATACAGTATTTGTCTTTCTTTGTCTGGCTTACTTCGCCTTGCATAATGCCTTCAAGGTCCATCCTTATTGTCCCCCACATAGTAGGATTTTCTAGTTTTCTATGGCTGAATAATATACATATATACAAATCACAACTTCTTTATCCATTCATCCATCAGTGGATACTTTGGTTATTTTCAT